GGCATCGTAGTAGGCATCATCAGTGAGTTTTGCCATTCGCCGCACCAAGCTACGAACTCGTCAAAGAGACTTCGGACTAGGTGCGTTCTACATGATCTCCATGAAAACAAGACCAAGTTGCGACAACGAGGTCAACCCACTTCCTTGAATTTTGTTGTGACGATGTTACCTCGATCTGATGATGTCCGTCATATGACGGACGAAAGCTTAGCACGTTTGCACCGGAATCGAAGGAGATTGTCTCGGAAACAGCGTCAGCATGAATCTTCCAGTAAAGCCAATCGACAGCTGGTCAAGAAGAATCCGCCGTCGTCTTCTGGTGGAACCAACCTTCGAATCTCTTCACCCAAGACTTCCACTTGAAATGGAAGTAAGCTCAACAGTTCTATCCGTGACCTCTCCTAAGCCGTCAGTCATATCTTGTAACTTAAGGAAATCCACATCAGTCAGTATTTCTGAAAGGGATTGACTAAGCCTGGTTTGGGTTCTAATTAGTTTGTGTAGCCTGTTAATGCTTTAATTTGGCCTTGTTTTAACCAAACCACACGATACCCGATCAAGTTCCCTATTGGTGGACCTTGGTAAATTGAAACGTCTACCAAATAAAAATCTAGGAAGAACATTATGAGAAATACAAAGTTTAAAAAACTAATTCTATTAACTTGCCGGGAGGAAATTTAATCATACGGACATTGTAAACACGAAGAGTAACTGAATTTTGATGGAGCTCCTTATGATAATATTGCTGGAGGCCTTCACTTCATATCAAAGTAGAGCTGGATAATCTTCTTGACCTAGTGTTAACGTGAGACTTTTACAAGAATGAGTTCCAGCTTTGAGTATGTCAATCAGATGATGGACAAAAGCTTAGTCCGTTTTCACCCGAAGCAAGGGAAGATGTCCAGTGGACTGCATCAATCTGAACGCCGTATCAAAGCCGAACGACTGCAGTACAATGGGAATCCGCCATCGTCTTATAGTGAAATCAATCTACAAATGTCCCCTTCATGCACTTTCATAAGAAATGAAAGTCTCCCTCAACAAAAACTATTGATATTATCCAGACATACAAAGTTGATATGTCTTGCTTAAGCGTATAGAACCTAGAAGTCTCTCCTAGTGTGAAAAATATATTATTTCTCGAGACAACTGACAACACATTGCATAATATTTAATCTTTAAACAGGTTTTACAGTTAAGGCTTGATATGCCACTTTAACTAAAATGCTGACGACATCATAAGCCATTTGAGTAAAT